TAAAGGTGAGGAGAGAGAGAGAGAGAGAGGATGAGAGAGAGAGAGGAAGTTGGAGAGAAAGAGAGAGAGAGAGGAATTTGGAGAGAGTGTGGGATGGGGGAAAAAGAGATTCAGAGAATAGGTAAGGAGAGGGACTTAAGGAGGAAAGGAGAAAGCTCCATTCACACACTCTTGGCTGAGAATAATTCAGGTTCAAAGGATGTGCTGTGTAAATCACAGGCCTTATCAGAAAGAACATTGTGATTGTTCTGTAACACAAAGCTGAATTATTGTGCTCAATACATTCCTTTCATGTTAAGGGGGATCGTTGCAATTTGCCTCTGAGTGCTATCCAGGTCTCCACAACAAACAGATGGACAATCCCTGCCCACACCTGCCGTCTCACCCACCCAGAGTCAGATTACTCTTGTCAATGCCAGCTAATCGTGTTTCAGTCCGGCTCAGTTACTATTTTATCAAAAACAGTCACCACAATGACATTATAATGCACTTTGAACTACTTTACAGCAATCAAATCAATTTCTTTCTGCGATTGAAGGAGGGTAAATTCAGAATGAATCTACGCAAACACTATTTTAGTAAGAGAATAGTGAACCTGTGTAACAGGCTCCCTCGGGAGACAGTTGAAGCAGGAAGCGTTGATTCTTTTAAACGCAGATTAGATAGTTTTTTTTTAGGAAATAACATTATAGGATATAGTACAGAGGTAATTTGGGATATATATGCATGCGACCATCAGGAAGGTAGAAAGCGAACTAGATGGACCTTTGTCTTTTATCATCTAACATTTCTTATGTTATGGTTCTTTCTGTGCAAAATGTGTTTACTGAACAAGTGTTTATCTACAATGTCAGTGACTCTCCCTGAGTTAGTGTCAACAACACAGAAATGGACAACTCCCTGTAAACTAACTGCTCTGCTCACACCTCCTCATCTTAGCTTTCATTAGAAAACGTACAGATGACGTACGTTACCTGTCCTTGTATTTGATGCAGCACCAGCTTGAGCTTCAAAATGTCTCTGAGCGCTGTATGGGTAATTGACAATTTTAGGCAAAAGCAGCTGCCCGACAAACCATGAAGTGACTGACATTTTATCTGGAGGATACTGGGAGAGACTCAAGCGCTGGCTCAGGCTGGGATCCTGTTCCAGGTTTGATCCTCAACAGACACTTTCCAGCACTTTCCAGGATATCCATAATAGGCGGACATGGTATCCCCTGGGGGGCTGTACTGGGACCTCAGCTTTTGTATAATAAATATATAAATGTGATATATATTTGTATAAATAACTTGGATGAAGTAATAGAAAGTTTTATATCCAACTTTGCAGATAACGCTAAGCTAGGAGGCTCAGTAAGTTGTGTAAATGGGAATAGGAAGTCAAGTTACAAACAGACTTAGACCGATTAAGTGAGTGGGCAAAGCTGTGGCAGATGGAGTTCAATGTTGGGAAGTGTGAGGTCATCCACTATGGATCAAAAAAAATAAAGCAGACTATTTTCTTGATGGGGAGAGACTAAGAACTGTGGAGGAGCAAAGGAAATTCTGTGTCCATATCCACAAATCACTACAAATCTGGTGCCCAGGTGCAAAAACTAATCAAAAAGGTGAATGGAATGTTAGCCTTTATCTCAAGGGGTCTGGAAAACAAAGGAGAAGAAATGATGCTTCAGCTGTATAGAGCATTGGTCAGATCCCATCTGGAGTACCTCGTTCAGTTTTGGGCACCACACCTCAGAAAAGGTAGACTGGTCCTGGAGGGGGTGCAGCAGAGGTTCACTAGAATGTTACCAGGCCTTAAAGAGTTATGTTACAAGAAAAGGCTGCATAAACTTAGATTGTATTCCCTTGAGTTTAGAAGGTTGAGGGGTGATTTGATTGAGGTGTTTAAGATGATAAAGGGATTTGATACAGTAGCTACAGAGAAGCTATTTCATTGGGTGGGGGAATAGTCTTAAAATTAGAATCAAGCCATTTAAGAGTGAAATCAGCGTTTTTTCACTCAAAGGGTGGTAGAAGTCTGGAACGCTCTCCTCCAAAAGGTTGTGGATGCTGGATCCATGGAGGATGATAGATTTTTGGTACGACAGGATATCAAGGGATATGGGGAAAAAGTGGGAAATTGGAATTGACAGGATTAGTTGAGCTACAGATCAGTTACAATCTAATTGAATGGAGAAACAGACTCGAAGGGCTGAATGGCCTACAACTGTTTCTATGTTCCTACAGATGAGGAACTGATTCTCTCTCCCCCTCACAAACTGGCTCAGTGTCGCACATTCTGCAACACTATTTCACAGTATCCTGTATTATTTGGTCCTTTTTATAAATGTTTCCTAACCAACCCTCAGGGGCAACTGAGTTCTGTGAGCCGCAAATGCTGGTCCAGGGTTAAACCTCAGAGCTAGGCCTCAGAACCAAAAAAACAGTAGGCCAATAGCAGCCAAATCAGAGGCATTCTTTAATAAAAAAAAAAGTATTAATGGGTTATTTCCGGTTTCTTCCAATCTAACTCACTTTCTCCTCTCCCCCTTACTCGCCTGTGAAAAAGACAAGGTCAGGGCAGGGAAAGCTCCAAAGCCAATCTCACCCATAGCTCTCTCCTCTCACTGTCAGCTTCTCTACAAGATAATCCTGCACATCCTTCCTTGCGCATTACTGTCAGTGGTCACAAAAACCTAGATTAGAATGTTAATAGCCCTTCCATCCTTCAGTCCTGCACACACTGTCGCATTCAAACCAGTCATTTATCCCTCATTCTACCAGGGATTTGCAGTTTAATTTGTTCCACGCTCAGTGGATAGAAAGGCAAGCCGTGAAAAATAATTCTTACACGACTAAGCAGCACTTTGCTTTCTGTAGTTTATCTCTCAGCAATTCCATACTGAATATGTATATGCACAGCACCTTTGGAAAGACATCTCAAAGCGCTTCACGTGATTTTAATGTGAAGTTTAATGACTGTATTTTGTAGGCAAACACATTGTAGCTAATTTACTCACCAGAACTTCCTGCAAACAGCCAGGACCTCGGTTTAACAATACAATACATTTGCATCGTACATTTCACATCGGGAGCATGTCCCAAGATGCTGATTTTCTGTAATTACTCAAAAGAACAGAATTCAGGAATTTTCTAAAATTCTGTGCAATCTTAATTTTAAAGACAACGGGTTTAAGGTTAAGACAAAGTGAGATTTTGGGCCTCCAATATTTTCAAATGAGATCATTCAAAGTTTTGATGCGCTGGAATTTTTTTTGTAAGGCATTCCTAATTTCAAAATGATACAATCTAATCTACAACAACAAATTGCATTAATATAAGCTTAACTTCACATCAGGAGGGCGTCCCAAGGGGCTGTATCTAATTACTAACATGACTGAGACCAGTTCTTAAAAATCAAAACCCACTTAGAACCAAACACATAAACAATAATTTCCAGCTAACGATGATCACATTCCACAACCCTATTCCATAACTCAGACATCTATATGAATAGGGTTTTAAGATTGAAAATGTAGTTTAATACTTAATATCCATTTTAAAATGCTGTTTATGTATTTTCTAATCCAAATCAATGGAACCATTAAGAGTTGAAAGCCTAGCCATTGAGATCTTATGCCCATGGTAATTTGATATATAAAAAGCTATGGCATTAATGTAGTTTGGGCTTTAGTGCATAGTTATAGTAAATGTACTTACTCCACCTACTGGCAAAAAAAATTCCACCATACATTTTTTATTTTAAATATTCATTATTATCATTTGACACCTTGTTTTCTACTTTTTTTTTAATATAGTGAAATCTACTTAAGATCAACTTCTCAGGAAGTCTGTTGGGGTGGAAGAGAATCATGGCAGGATAGAGTGTATTGCATAAACACAAGTTGATAACAAGGTCAGTTTTGCATTCCAGTAAGTCTGGTTCTTTGTGTGTTTTGCATCAGCATTTACACGTTCTTGTGTGACAAGCTAAGTAACTTCTGCATTTTTTCACGCAGGAAATTGCTCTCGACTTTCATATTACTGCAGATATAGCAAAATAGACAACAACTCCTGACATTATCGGATATACAAATGTGAAAATGACTATCTCTAAAACCAAAAGTGACATCTGTGTATCATAAGTAGTCTCTTAATGGTAAATTTGTGTGGAATTTCAAATTGACTCCTCTATAATCCTTTTTAAATTGTTCACTCTTTCCAGCATAATCAACTGGTTATCTGTAGGAAGTAAAGGGCGGTGGAAGCAGGAAATAGGAAAATAATACATAATTACAGCATTACAAAGTGGATGTTTAACTACAAAGGTTTCTAAACTTTGTAGTTGGCTTAATTCTATGGGGATTTTCCAACGGGAAAGTTTGCATTCTAGGTTTAGACTCTCAGAGGGACGCACCATTCCTGCACTGTCAAAATACTCCTCTGTAAGTGAACCACATTCTAAACCTAGATATGCCACCTAAACATGGAAATGCCTCGTGAATGAGAACTCTCTTCCTTGAGGGATGCATCTTACTTAACTTATTCCAGCGAGTACTAGGCATAGGTTAACAAGAGACAAGGTTTAACCAACTAGTACCTCATAGCATGCATTGAATGCACTGTGTGGCAAGCTTTCCTCTATTTTTACCACTAGGAACACCCTACAGGATTCTGCCTTCATTTCAACCACTCTCTTTCCATGCCATGGGTTTCTTCAAATCTTCTAAAGGAGGCATAGCAAGGTGTGTGCTGACAAAATCTCTTTGTGACTTAGGTCAACAAGAGAGATACATTTGTCAGGGAATGAGACAGAAATTGGTTTATCTCACCAAAAGAGATGGAATACTCATCTACTAGTAAGGCTGGTTAACACCAATGAATTTTACCAACAATGTCAGGCTTGTGACTCAAACCAGTAACCATCTGGTTAGAAAGCTAAGGTTGTTCATGTCACAGTGGAATGATCAGAATAAATTTATTTTCATTTAAACCATGCTAAGAGATTAGTGTTGCTGCTAGCCTTATATTGTAAATTTATCTCACTTTATTTAAAGCCATGGATTCTTAAATCAAGCTTTCATATCTTCTAATCTACTACTTGCACACATCTTCAAAGCGTGTCTATGTGAAGCTTTTCCCAGCTCATGTTAAGCATATTGAGCTATCAAAAGCCTCAAAACCTGCTGCTGGACGTTGGACATTTTTTAGTGCATAGAATTCCAAGATGGCCAACTTCCAGGGTACTTGTTCGTTGCATTGATGATGGAAATAGGATGAGTTCTACAGTACACATTTCCACCTTTGTCAGATCAGTACCAAAGAGAAAACACCACACTGCCTGTCATTTGATTTGAATTTACCTGTCCAAATTTAAAACCGATACAGGTGTTTTGCAGTTAAAACCTGTAGTTATTGCCTCACCTGGTAGTAAGAACTTGAGCTGGTTATTGGCTAGTCGCAACTGCCAAAGAGATCTCAACTAACCAACCTCAGGGCAGAGAATTTCTAGTGCGTTGTTTGTAAGATTAGGGAATGAAGCTTAACCAGGGCCCCAATGTCTTCAGGAATAACTTATATTATTTGAATGCAAGTATAATTCAATGAGGCTTCACCCAAAGGACCGCATATTCAACAATGCAGCACAGCCCCAGCGCTGCTCTGCAATGTCAACCTAGACTGTGAGCTCAAAGTCCCGATGCAAGACTTCAATCTACAACTTTCTGACTCAAGAGGCAGAGTGCGACTGACTGAGCCAGTCTAACAACTAAGTAACAAAGGCTCTTTACACTGAAAAATATTTAGAAAGCACTCAGTCGTTACTTTTCTTAAATCAGAATTATTTACGACTTTATTTACAATTCTTTGCAACACATCAAGAAAGACGGTTAACAAGGTCTGCGAACTGCATGTTAGCAGCGGCAAAAACACAGCAGCCATCAGTTTTCCAATATGTAACCCACTCTCCTGAAGAGGATACAAGAGCTAATCTCTCCTTTGTTGCTGATAACGCATCACGTTCATCAATACAACCATGGGTCAGTGCTCTTCTGAACATTCCTCTCTTGTTCATTCACTCCCTCTCCTCCTCCCTGCAGTCAAATATAGACTCATTCCAGTTTCCTGCCTCCAGCACTTTCATCCCTAGAAGCTCAAGACTGTGGAACTCTTCCCTCTTTCAATCCTCACTTCCTCCAGCCCTCTATATTCTCTTCTGTCAGGTGGTACTGAAGATCAACAACAACAACAACAAGATTCCATTTATAAAGCGCCTTTCACGTCAGGAGGACGTCCCAAGGCGCTGCACAGTTGGGTCAGGACCCGAGCATTGGGGGAAATGGTCAGGGTGAGGGGAGGGAAGGGAGGGAGCGAGGAGGGGGGAAATGGTGAGGGGAGGGAAGGGAGTGAGCGAGGAGGGGGGAAATGGTCAGGGTGAGGGGAGGGAAGGGAGGGAGTGAGGAGGGGGAAGAGAGTCGAGAGGGGAGCTGAAGGCTCGGTCAAAGAGAAAGGTTTTGAGACCGGCCTTGAAGGAGGAGAGGGAGGAAGCGGCGAAGGCACTGGGGGATTGGGTTCCAGAGCCTGGGGCTGAGAGGCTGAAGACCCGACCACCGATGGTAGGGTGATTGGGGCGGGGGACGTGGAGCAGACCGGAGCCGGAGGAACGGAGGGTACGGGCAGGTAGGTAGGGGATCATTAGAAAGATCATTAGAAAGCGGTGACCCAACCACCTAACGAGCATCTCAGCTCCAGACAAAGAACACATTCTACAACCTAAGCTCAGCCTTAGAAACAGTCCTGCTTTGTGGTCATGAACAGCTCCCTGTGGACTGTGTGACAAACAATAACAAATTACATTTGTATAGCGCCTTTCATGTCAGGACGACGTCCCAAGGAGCTGGACAGTCAGGGATCCGCATCCAAGCTGGTGGTAGGGATCAGGAGGGGTGGAGGGTGGGGAGGGTAGGGGAGTGACCGGAGGCACGGTCGAACAGGGTCTTGAAGGAGGCGAGGAGCGAGACGGAGAGACTGTGGGATGATTTTCAGAGGGTGGGGGCAGAAAGGCTGAAAGCCCGCTCGCCAATAATGGGGCAGGCACACGGTGGGGGATGTGAAGCAGGTCGTTGCCTGCTGAGTGGACAGGTTGATAGGGGGCAAACACAACAGCTCAGGATCTGAAGAGCTGTTGGTGTTAACTTTATTAACGTTGGAGCAAGCTTGGTCTGAGACCTCTCCCTGGGTTGTTTATCTGATTCCAGCTCCTATAGGAACTAAGCCTGTGCCTGCCCAGCTGCATGAGTCAGCTTTCAGCCTCAATATTTACACAACCCCACCCAAACCCTTGACTGCAGCCAGAATCACTGTGTACAGCAGGCCCTAACCCAGCCCGAGGGGGTTCATGCAATGGGCACCTGGCCTTCAGATTGTAAATCGAATTTTCTCGTCAAGAGGTAAGTGATTTACGCAGCAACTTCAAAAGGCTGTTAACAAAGTCTGTGGACTGCACGCTGGCAGCAGCACAAGCACAGCAGCCATCAGTTTTCCATGCCACGCCCCAGCACAATGGACTCATAACTCACCGCACAGCACCCACATTCCTCAACATCAGTTCCCTGTCAGAATTCCCTCGAGTCACCGAGAAGCAACAGAATACAAAATCTAACAAACTTTCTCAACGGTATCACCTTCCTCCTTTACTCCCAGCAGCCAACCTCTGACACAGACACACAAATATACGGCCTGAAGACCAGCGGCTGAGTTCCAGCCTCAGGTTCAGTGTAGTTGTGAACGGCATCTCACAGGGGCAGAACATTCGGGAGAAGCTCTGTAAGTTTGACAATGGCTTTTGTGAACTAATTGGTTGTAGCATAACATTAGTCAACCCTTGCCTGGTCTCCAAGTTATTGGTAATGTGGTTGCCATGGTCATGCTGTAATATCCGCCTCGCGAAACAGTTGGCAGAGTCCAGCGAGTGGACGCTTAAACTGACTCAAACATTCTCTCTTCACACAAGTCAACACCCTCTGTGAGGTCAGAGTGCATACACACATCAGCAATCTACGGTGCCAGTGAGAGAATCTCTCAGCGTTCACCCTGGGAGCAGTTGTAGACTAAGTCACACTACACAAAAATGCCTGCGGAGGATCGGAACATCGAAGAGGAGGATCTTGAGATGGGTTTTGAAAGAGGCAAGGGAACGGGCTAGGCAGAGGGACTGTGGGGAGTTACAGATCGTGGGGGCAGAGAGGCTGAATGCCCACCCTCCATTGGTGGGGGACGTGAAGCAGGCCAGAGCCCACTGAGTGGAGGTTGAGAGGGGGTTATGAGGCAATGTCTTTTTTTTGAACCACGTGGAAGTGTGGCCCAACACTGAAACTGTAGTTTGTGTTGTAAGTGGCCACGTCCCTAGCCAATTGAGGACAAAGAGTGTCAGGTGGAGGGAGACCAGTGCTGCACTGCGGGGATTGCTTCAAACACACACAAGGAAAAGTGAAGCAAAGCAGACGTTATCAGAACATTTCCACATTTATTATCGGCTGCGGCTCACTCCCAACAAAGCAGAAATCTCTCTCTCAAGGGGGCCAACTGTAGTAGTTCGGAGACTGGGGGCTGCTCAATGCCACAGACGGCGGCAAAGAACTCGAATCCCGGCCCTTGATCCCAGATTGCCCAGACACCAGTGATTAAATACTGCAGGGTGCCACTGGTCTGTGCTGAGCAGAGGCCGGGGGAGTTTCATTTCCCTGCTCTCAGGACCAAGGTCAGTTGCCACCATCCAATTTTATATTTACAGGCATCAAGATAAACAGGCACAATTACACTGGGGGCGAGGACAGGAGATGGCTGGGTCAACAGCTCAGCATTTATATGGAAATATTCTTTAAAATCCCCCGGGCAGATGTCCAGCTGCCTCGAGTTGAAGAGGGAAAAGAGGTGGAAAAGAGAGCTGGTTACCAGGAGGGTCAGAACTGCCCTCCGCAGCCCAGCATAGTCAGGCAGGAGCAAACTGTGGACTGTGATGCTGTGAATTAATGAATAATTCCATTTGTTCTGTCCTAATTCGATGCACTTTACAAATGTTTCTTTTATAGAATTCCAAGTTGTAGCTGCCGTGCAGGTGCTGTCTCAGGGTCACTGTCCCCTAGGCCACATCCTTGGAATCTGCCGTTCCCACCTCCTCTGCAGGCTCTGTGGGAACAGTGTGTGCTCGCAGTCTCAGCAGTCTCTCTGCCGTGGTGACAGTCATAGGATGCAGTGGGAAAAACCCAGCTAGGCCTAACAGCGGAAAAAGAAAAGATTCACAACAAATGTTAGTACAGACATTAATCCCAGCTCCTTCTCAGTTTCCACAAATAGTCAACACTTCCCAGACATGTTGGGGAACGCAGGGATCTTTGTTACAATCAGAATTTCACAGCGTAGAAAGCGGCCATTCGCATAAGGTGCTGATGTCTGCTCTGACAGAGCTCTCCATTTACCATTTACCCCACTCTCCTGATCTTTCGTCCACACCCTTTTTACCAGTTGCCTTTACAAATATGTGTCCTAATTCCTCTTCAATAGCAAATTGTGGCTGAATGACTACGTGGAAGGCCTTGATTTTTAGAAGAACCTCTTGGTGACATCATCCGCAGTCATGGGGTCAACTTCCACATGTATATGGATGACACCCAACTCTATTTCTATGCCTCCACCCTCGACTCCAGGACCACTGCTGTCCTGACAGAATGTCTGTCATACATCAAGTCCTGGATGAGAGCTAACTTTCTACAGTTGAACATCAACAAGACCGAGTCCCTGTTTGTCTCCCATCCGCATGCCCCTCCCTACCTCAGCAATGTGCTGACCCCATTCCATCCGCTCAGCATGCTCTGGCCTGCCCCACCATCGGCGGCTGGGCCTTCTGCCTTTCTGCCCCCACCGTTCAGCACCTTGGGACGTCCTCCCGACATGAAAGGCGCTATACAAATGTACTTTTGTATTGTATAAGAATAACGTAACAATCCATCCTCAGTAAAGCTCGGTGCTCCTTTTTTCTCCTGACAAGTTATCCCAACACCAGCAAAATGTGACCCTCTGCTGTGGCTTTAAATCGTTTCCGTGCAGGCTAGAGTCCCAAAGCGCTTAATACCTAGAAGTTTGGCCACCGGTTTAGTCAATTGAGCTCCACACGCCATCCAGTAACGAAGCCTCTCAAAATTGAAACTGACCAGCTTCTCGGCAAAGACATTGGGCATTGGATCGTACGAGCCCAACTGCTCCAGGTACTTGCCATCCCGAGCTCGCTTGTTGTGTGCTGCCACGATCCGGTAGAAGGGCCGATTGGTGCACCCGCCCAACGCCAGCCGGATAGCCACAAACCCTTTGTGGTAGCGTTTCAGCAGCAATGGAGCTGTGAAGAGGCGGAAAAAACTGTAATAATCCTTGCATTTGATATTATGGGAACATCACAGTAATTACAGGCACAAACAACCCCAGCAATGGACAATTCACACAACATTCTACTCACAGAGATGCACCATGACTTCTCCTTGTCAGACGTTACACCTGGAAATAAAAAGAATTATAATCAAACCCTCTGTTTCATACATTGCTAGAATGTGACATTTTCACCTAACATTTCTATTAAGATTAGAACATCTCACAGCGCTCTGCAGGTGATTGCTATCAAGTGTAGTGACTGTATCCGTAGTGGTAGAAGGTTCCTGCCCTGCAGTTGCCAGGAAATAATATTATATAATGATATTGTGTTTCCTCCACAAAACACTTAGTCACTACACTTCAGTGTATCTGGTGAAGCGCTTTGAGACTTCTCGAAGACTTAATAAGGCGCTGTATCAAATGCAAGGATTATAAATATCATATAATATTCTCTAAATTTTCTACAGCAAATTTTATATTATCATAATAATAATTCAGGACGGCGAATGGAAGCGCTTGGCAGAGAGCGCAGTGAGTGTGTGTGAAGGCGGCGGCGGCGGTGGCCACCTTGTGCTCAGTCACGGCCCCATAATTAGCTGTGTGGGGGAGAGGGGCGAGTGATGTTATCGGGGCGGGGGGGGGGGGGGGGGGGGGGGGGGGGGCAGGAGTGATGCTATCCGGGGGGGGGAAGTGGAGGGGGGGGAGGAGTGGGAGGGGGGGAGGGAGTGATGTTATCCCGGGGAGGGGGGAGTGAGTTATCTGGAGGGGGGGGAGGGGAGTGGAGGGAGGGGAGGGAGTGATGTTATCCCGGAGGGGAGGGGGGAGAGGGGGGGAGGGGAGGAGTGATGAGTGATGTTTCCCGCGGGGGGGGGGGGGGGAGGAGTTATCTATTTGTGGAGTCTGTACTCAGTGGTAGAGCATCGCTTGCAAGTGAGAGACCTGAGTTCATTCCAGGCAGGGGCGAACTTGGGCAGTTCCTTACTCACACAGAGCTAATAAAATCCTCCAAACCAAAACAATAATAAATGGTCATTTTCAATCACGACTGTGTGGGACATGCTGGCGCAATGGCTGCGCGTTCGCCCACAAATATACAGTCAATTCACTTACAGTGTGTTCTGTGAAGCGCTTGGGACGTCCCCGACGTGAAAAGCGCTATATCAATGCAAAGATTTATTATATTATTATCCCGCGCGGGGGGGGGGGTAGTGGAGGGGAGATGGTCGGCCGGGGGTAGCGGGAATCTCACCGCAGCCCCGCGGGAGCTTTAATATCCCTCTGAACAGCGCAGCCGGGACTGACGCCTCACCCCGGGCCCCGGGCCTGACCCGGACAGCACTGAGTGAGTGAGTGAGCGAGTGAGAGAGGGAGGGCCTGAGGCCCCGGAGCCCAACGCTGCCGTTACCTGAGAGCGTCCGTCCGCCATTGTCCGGGAGGGGCCTTTGACCCCGGAAGCGAAGAGCTGGTGACCGCGCCCCCCCCGGGAGCTACTCCTGAGCATGCGCAGTCACGCCTCCACCTGCGCAGCGCTCACGCCGCTGCCGTACCGCACATGGCCACCAGGTGGCGCCGCACTGACCCTCACCCACTGCACCCAATCGCCAATGCCCAAAGGCATTTGGATTTTCTTGTACCTTTTAATAAATAAATAATAATAATAATAATAATCCTCGCATTTGATATAGCGCTTTTCACGTCGGGAGGACGTCCCAAAGCGCTTCACAGAACACACTGTAAAGTGAATTGACTGTATATTTGTGGGCGAACGCGGCAGCCAATTGCGCACAGCAATGTCCCACAAACAGTCGTAGATTGAAAATGACCAATTTATTATTGTTTTTGGTTTTGGAGGGATTATTATTAGGCTCTGTGTGGAGTAAGGAAACTTGCCCGAGGTTTCGCCCTCTGCCTGGAATTGAACTCAGGTCTCTCACTTGCAAAGCGAGTGCTCTAACCGCTGAGCTACAGGTCTCCACAATAATCCTTTTGCCTTCGATGCAGCGCCTGAGCGCGTCTTCGAGACCGCCTCAAAGTGCTTCGCTGCAGACGCTGCGAAGTGCATCGCGCGGGCGAAGCGCGGCAGCCGAGTGCGCACCGCACCGCAGCGTCCCGCAAACGGTCGTGGGTTGAGCGTGACCGAATTATCATTGGTCTAATAATAATCCTTGTATTTCACGTTCAGCGCCGCGTCGCGCCCTCGAGATATTTTTTTAGATCTCTGTTGGAAAGCCTGATTCCAGTGGCTACTGGTGAAAGGTGCCCGGCCTTTGGCAGATGCTGTTCGGGCGGATGTTAAAGATCACACAGCCCCATTTGAAAAGAAAAGAGGGTTTCTCTCTCCCGATGTCCTGGCCAAAAATCCCCAGATAAAACAGATTATTCACTTCATAGCTGTTTTAGGCTATTGCTGCGAATAAATCGGTTGCCTCGGTTACCTGCAAAACACAGTCACTACATTTTACAATAAATCCTGTGAAGGCTTTGAGATGTGTCTCCCTGCTCACTCCTTAACATGAAAGGTTCTGTATCAAGTGTGTGGATTATTATATATGATTAAAATTGTTGATTCTCCCACATACAGAACTTTGCAAACATTCCTTCCTGGCATGCAGCTCATCATCTACAAACTCAGAACTCTTTTCATTGCCAGGAACTTATCAAGTTCCTTCCTGGTTCTTTATTCCACTTTTATGCCTTCCCAGCGTATCTGCAATCATTTTTTTCGAAACTTTCATAAATTCAAGCAGAATAACAATAAAAACAAACAAAAAAATTGCATTTATAAAGCACCTTTCACATCGGGAGGACATCCCATTGCGTCAAGAGATTACAACTAAGTTTGGGGTTGGATTCAGGAGGGGAGGGGTCAAGGGGGACTATTAAATCCTCTCCGTTCCTCTTTTTATGTATACATCCCAAAATTTCCTTCTCTCTACTTGGGACCCTCATATCCAGTGCTGGTGTCTAACTGTCCCTGAGACAGTGGAAAGGACTCCAGGCGTATGTTGTATGATCACTGCTCTCTGAGTCTGCCCCACACACTGCATTATCAGATGATTAAATAATTTCGCCTGAAGTAGGTTTCAAATGAGAAAATAGATAAAGATGTTTCATAACCATATTCAGCCCCAGTTCTGATTGAAAAATCACAATAATTGGGGAACTTTGGGCACAGTGAGCAGAGAGGAGGGGTAAGGAGAATTCCATGGCCTTTGATTGCGGGCAGAAAGATGGATTTTTAAGAGAGTTTTACAGTCAGGCAGAGAAGATGAAGGAATTTGGATACGAGTCTTGATTTGAATTCAAGTCCCAGAGGTAAGCCCCAGCCACCTGCCTGTCTCCATTAGTCCATCACAAAGCTACTATTGGATTCAACAGCAGCACCTGCCGTCTGGCCAAGCAGAAGCCAGTTTCTTTCTATCAGTGGGAGCTGGAAGAACTGAAACAAATGGTGATTTATTGAGGGCTCTCCTCCTTTAAACCCATTCCAGATGCAAACGCAAAAATCAGAATGGTTTTCTTCAAGAGAGATGACAGCGTTGCAGACTGGGAATGCCACTGTCTCCTATTTCACATGACTGTAAATACAGCAAGCAGGAATTCCCATATTTTACTGAGAACGTATGGTGGCACAATGGGTATGACTGACTCCGAGTGGGAGCTCATCCCAGTCGCTCTGTTTGCTCACGCTCTAGGTCTCAGTCTAACTCAGTCGGTCATGTTCTCGGCTCGAGGTCAGAAGGTTCTAGGTTCCAGCCCCCGTATAGGGACTGGAGCACACAGTGCAGGCTGACCCTCCAGTGCAGTCCTGGGTAACATCTTTTAGTTCCCACTAAACAAACTCAGGGTATCAGGTTCATTACTGCCCAGCTCTCAGCTGTTGCTCTTTGCTATTGATTACAACAAAACTTTAACATTCACGTTTAGCTTCAAAAACCTCAATTGCGAGAGGTTATTTTTCGCCATTCTTTTCTCTAGTTGCTGTATAATTTATGGACTTGGCTATTTTTACAGCATGGTTTATGTGTCCGCACACATGGCATGAAAAGCAGGCCACATCCGGTGAGGCACAAGCTACAACACAAGAAGGATGCACAGATACAAAAGGAATGGTGAAAAAGAAGATATATCTGAAACCACTGCCGATATAATAACCTCAGAGAATGTTACAGCACAGAAACGGGCCCATCAAAACTAGCTGATAACAAGGGTATCATTTCATATGAATGAATGAAAGGGTATCAGTCATGGGACGGAATCAGAGGCGAGACTTAGACACTCAGAGAATTGGGCCATTTAGTTTTGACTGGTGATGTTTGTGTAATTTTGAAGCTGAAGTGAGACCAATCCACTGGCATGTTTGGGGGCTGCCTGGCAGTGACTGAGAGCCACTGGAATTCTCGAGTCGGGGGGTGCATGTGTCACATGGCCATCCTGACTTTACATGGCAAGAGAATATTTGGGTTGTTTATGAAAGAGGCGAGTAGCTGAGCTGTCACGAGGGGATGACCTTGTGCTGATGTTGTGAATGACAAGGGATCTCAGCGAAAAAACCTTTTGCTCCTTCGAGGGCTTTGTTGCCAGTGCACGGAGCTACACAGACCAGAGGTCACAGGTTCAATTCCCTCTCCGCTCTGTGCTGAGTTACTGAAATAGAGCAGGTCCACAGAGACAGAGACACAGGGCGAGTTAGCAACTGATTGAAAATACAGAACTTGAGAAGGGAGAGGAGAGAATTAAGTCTCTCCTGGATGCTGCCCTGTGTGAAGGGTGCTATATAAATGCAAGTTGTTGTTGATGGTGATGGCGGTTTCATGGCCGGCAATCCCCGAGACATAATAGGTCATTCACTTTGTGGCTGTTTGTGGGATGTCGCTATGTACAAGTTGGCTGCCATATTCGTCCGCAAAGCAGTAACTATACTTTACGGAGAATCATGCGAAGCTCTCCCAACATGGAAGGCGCTGTAACAAATGCGAGAATTGTTATTTTTCGAAAATATATCTGTGCGATGATTTCACTGGAAATGTTATTGAACCAACGCGACAGGTGGGGGGAGTGGGGTTGGGGAGGGCTGGAGGAAATTTCCGGAGATGTTTCCTATTCCCTCCCACCGCTCTCCCCCACCCCTCACCTTGTTGGACGCTGGCACTGTCCCCATTGCTATGCCCCGCGGAGTGTGAGGACCGCGTCAGCACAGCTAGACATTACCCACTGTCATTACCCGTGCAGCCATGCCCTAGCCCAGCCATCCATACCATCTGCCACAGGAGAGGAGAGAGCAATTGACTTCACCTGACTTAATTACCCCCAAAATGTGAGAACAAAACAGAAAAAAAATTCCCCCCAAATCTCCAAGTGTTTCTCCAGTTACTGAGGAACAAGTGCGGAAATCAGGTTGTCGTCTTGGCAGGCTTCAGGCGAGTCAGCCACACACGGTCACTGTGTGCCCTGCTGCCCGGTCTGACTGTACAATAAAGAGGCTGATTTGTCACGCAATTTAATCAGTTAAAAAGAGGACACGATGCATCTTGTGACTGCAGTGAATCAGCCTAAACACAGCTCTCACTTCACTGAGGAATGAGGAGGGAGGGAGAGCGCATCAGAAAACAATTGCCTCTCGCTCGCTGCCACACTCAGTCAAGTCAGTGATCTAACGCTCTCAGAGTTCTCTATATTCTGGGATAGAAACCCCACATACATTCAGCCCCCTCCACCACTCTCTCTCACACACACACACATACAAAGCAAAACATATAATATACGCACATATCCCCGATCAGCACAGGTTAGAGACAGAGTAAAGTCCTCTCCACTGTTCCTCCACATTCCCAGATCAACAACAACAACAACACATTACACAAATAATCCCTCCAAAAACCCCCAAAAAAAAAAAATTGGTCATTTTCAATCTAAGACTGTTTGTGGGACATTGCTGTGCGCAATTGGCTGCCGCGTTCGCCCACAAATATACAGTCAATTCACTTTACAGTGTGTTCTGTGAAGCGCTTTGGGACGTCCTCCCGACGTGAAAAGCGCTATATCAAATGCAAGGATTATTATTATTATTGTTACATTTGCATAGGGCCTTTCACATCAGGAGGACGCCCCAAGACGCTAGACAATCAGTGTTTTGGACCTGAGCTGGGGGTCAGGAATGGGGAGTCAGTGGGACAGGAGGGTGATCGAAGGCAAGGTCGAAGAGGAGGGTCTTGACCCAAAAGCTCCCTCTACACTGCTTGTCCAGGTCGGAGAATCTATCACTGGCACCACAAATGATACCGCAAGCCTGAGCCAGGCTTTTTGTCTGTGGCAGAAAACAAAACTTCAAACCAGATGAAACTTGAAATGCAATTTGTCTGTGAGGTCATTTTTGTTTTTTTGCACAAAGAGAGATGGAAATCTCTCAGCTGGTGTTGTTATTTATTTTTGTGGATCACTGCT